AGATCTAAGGTGAGACAATTTTATTAAACAGGAAATGAGAATGTAAAAAAAATATACTATAGCAATAATTTCTATTTACATAATAATATAAATATAAAATAATATAATTTATATTTATATTATTCGAATCTTTTTTATTGTTAAGGAAGGTGAATTCTTAAGAAATGTATAAAATTCTTGATAACTAAAATAAAAATTAATTCCAGTTATTAATATTGCCGAGACTTATTAATATTCCCATCGAAATCAGAAGGTCACATTAATTATGACAGACGCGAAAGGAGAATATTTCGATCAGACTTACGGATACTGCCGAATGTATCCGACATCTTGGAGAGATAAGCTACCGACAGGGAAACGTTTAAGGTGTTTCGGCGGTGGTACGTAAAACTTGCAAAAATCAATAGCCAGATGTTCATGTGTTAGCGTTTTCCCGAGCTCGGATAATCGTTTACTCCCTAACACTGCACCGAAAAATATAAGAACAAACTGAAGTTTTATTATCCAAATCTAACGCAATAAAAATAAAAAAAGGAATTATTTTATGCTCAAGTATTTATAATTTTGTTATTTCGCTTCTTAATTTTCCGTATTTAATATATGTACATAATTTACCTCCTTATTTAATTTACTTTATTTACTTATTTTCATATGCTTACCCGTATTCACGCCATTCGGAAAGTTGTCAGTCATTGTTATTTTTATTTTCGTTACGAATAAAAAAACTCACTTCAATTTCTATTCTGCACACAGCAAATTGAAAAAGTACAATTAAACGCACATTCTAAACTTCCATGAGCTTAAAATTGTTTGTTTAATGGCAGGCACTGTGAGGCACTGCTCGCTACGAGTTACGATTGAATACTATACAACTTGTAACAGTTGTAACTGCTGCGACGCATTATACTCTCCTTCTAAGCGACCTAACTCAACCTGGAAGCGTTCATTATCTCTCTGCGCGATCGGCGCTATTCTTAAATTCTTAAATATTTGTACTCTTAAATATCCGATAAAATATTATCAGGGTTACAGCGAATAGAACTCGCTAAAAATGTTTCTTATGTATATAGACTTGTGCGTTATCGTAATTTACAAGCAAAAATAATGATATTTAAAAAACGATATGTCTTTCATCTTTGATATTTCCAGGCGCAATAAAGAAAAAACTAGAAAAACTTATTTATCTTTTGCTGCTTTTAATAAAAACTATGTTCTAGGTTAAATTAATTTAAGGAAAAAAATCATAATTTATTAGTTATTGTTTATTCTTTGTTATATAAAAATTTATTATACAATTTTTAGATAGGAACGTGACATGTCAATTTATAAACAAAATATTATTATATTAGCATGGCTGAGGTAAATGATGTATAACGGCATTTTTCATTTATTTTTCAGTTGCTTTTAATAAAAATATTAGTATTTTAGATTATATTATTTTAGATTTAATTAAAAACCAACTACGCTAAGTTTTGTAATAGTTATTTTTCATCTATTATTTATTATACTTGTAATTTTATAAGAGGACATTATTATTAGCATAACGGATAAATAATAATAACATATCTTTTATTTTCATGGAATTTCAGAGAATTTGAATAATTTTTTTATTTAATTAAAATTTTTTGAATTAAAAGTATATACATGTGTAATTATAATAAGTTCATCATTTTTTCAATTTATTTACGTACATTTATAGAGAAGGTATTGTAACGCGCGATCAATAAATGATAATGACAATATAAAATTTTTATCATATTGTCATGGTTATCATATTAAAACAAACGTGACTATGACAATATGTAAGTCTTCCAACAATACACTTTCGTAGCTTTGTACCATTATAATATATCATCGTGTTTAATTATATCTCACAATTATCTGTTTATGTACGTTAAGATTGATGTGTATTCCCATTAATTCTAAAATAATCGTCCATGCACGTGTATACATCGTTCTATTTGCAGCACATAGATCTTTCACGATTCGACGTGCTATCGTGCCGTAATCGAATTGAATCCCGTATACCGTTGTCAATTCTCGAACTTAGCACCTTATCCACCAAATAGCGTATCGCTGTGTCTGCAAAGGAAGATGTTCAATTAAGACTGTTTTTTGACTAAAATGAAAAAATTACGAGATGTATAAATTATACATATGTATGTCATATTAGAGAGCTATTTGAGAAAGGTTGAGTGAATAGTGATATATTTTGCAGAAACATGTAGAAAAAAAATTATATACATCAAAACCAATAAATCTATAAAAGTTAAGGCATCAAAATATTCCGGTAATTAAGCAAACACTATTATAATAGTATTAACATGTAAAACTTGATAATTAAGTTCGTTATTTAAAATTAGAATCTGGTCACTCTTCCAGCAGTTTCCTTTCATTGTGATAAGTGATAGCATCAAAATCAATTCTCGACTCATTGTTATCTGTGTTGTGAGGAATAACAATTAATGAATTCAATTAAATTTTCGATTACTTAACTTCTAAAAAGAGCGAAAACTCCTTATAAAAAGTGTTGCATATTAAAAAATATAGTAATCTCGATATTTGTAATGTATCAGAGATTGTAAGAACTTGTATTTACCGTAACAGCATTGTAATGAAAAATAAGTGCGTAGTATTAACGAATAATTTTCGAGTTTTTTTTATAGAGAAGTAAAACGATATATATGCTCTTACAATCATAACACTCTGTTTTTTAAATCTCCATACTCTTTTAATATTATTAACAATTAAAAACATTATAATGATACTAACAATTATTATTATACTTTTCAAATATTAATAAATATGTAATAAAAAAGAGGAGAACAAGATACGAGCTTTTTAACAATATAAATACACAGGAAAGATGAACGGAGAAGATAAGCTAATCGTTCGCCTACCGACATTGGTGTTGTTCTTCGCGGAAGTCGCGTACCAAGCGTGTATCTTGTTCTCTCTGCAGAACTTGGAGATTTGTTCGTTGGTCACGGCGACCGATATGTCGCACTTATTTGCCAGGAGCACGACTGGTATACCCGAACCATCCGGCAGCGCGATCTTCTCTCTGAGATCGTTCAGCCACTTCTTCATCGATTGGAAGGTCGACACGCGTGAGATATCGAATACGAGAGCCGCAGCTACCCTACGTGTAGGTCAAATCAATTAATGAATGCGAGAATTGAAAAAAAAAAACAAATTGAAGTAATAAATAAAAAATATAGTTGAAAATTTTCAGATTAATATCAGTCAAAAAATATAATTTTATATCTAATCTTAATTATTTCGATAAATCATACACTAAATATCAAAAGAGTAATGATAATCAAATCTGTATCTTATTTTTAACTTCGATATGTATGTGAAATGTAAGTCAATTTATTTATGTAGTTAGTTTCAAAATAAACAACATCCAGAATATTAACGTAATGTTGTCATAATAATAAACTAAATTTGAGTCAAATTTAATTTCTTGAATTAGTTTAATGTCAATGTTAAGTGAAATTAACGAATTATTGAGTAGCAATGATGACTTATAGAAATTATTAAAAATAATTCAAATTTAGATATAATTTGAAATTATATGAATTTAACGATGTACTATTTAAAAAGTTGAAACCAAATATATCTATTTATAATAATAAACGTATTTAATTACAAAGGAAACAAACTAAGAAAACAAACTTAAATTTAAGCGGATAATAAAAGATACGTTAAAGTCATATTTACGCGTATTTGTAATAAACCCTCGTCATGTATCCAAATCTCTCGTGACCAGCGATGTCCCTAAAATGTTCAGAGTTAAATTGCCATCTGCATAATTATATTCTGTGGGATTAAGAATAATTTCGAGGGGTCGCAAAATATACATGCGAGAAGACAACGAAATAGCATGCAATATAAATTATGCATCTACAAGTACCATAGTTGTAAGTTTATTTTAGTTTGCGGATCCCAATCGAGCGTTTTTATCGCAAAATCGGCGCCTATGGTAATCTTGTAATTCGAGGAGAACTTCCCTGGAAAAGACAGTTTCGAGAGTGTGTGCCGGTGACGCCCGGGTTAATAGTGTCGCAGCTGAGATGTTTGACGCACGTATCGTTAAGACGGATAAGCCGGCTTGCGCGCATTTCTCTTTCCATTTTCTGAATGCACGCGCTCCCGCAATATTCTCTCGCGACATGCGATCCACAACTATGATTGCGATTAAACGCATGTCACGTTTAAAGTTTTTGAAAATTTCTCGCGAAACGATTCTGGGTAAGAATCGTTAATTAACCTCGATAGTATAGGAAAGAGACGAATTGACAAATTACCTTCTGTGTATCTTCTGACCAGCGCAGTTTTGCCTAAAATAATTTTCCATGAAAATCTAAGTGAAATTATAGATCTAATTTTCAATTTTTAAAAGATTTTGCATTAAATTCTGTGAGAGAACTGCAAGAGTATCGAAAAAAATTCGAATTACTTATATGGAAAATTTGTCCGGTGAAATCAACTAGTTTCCAAATACAAGATATAGCTTAAATAAATATTATAGATACAAGATTCAATGGATAGTTTTTAAGCTATTATATCAATTTGAGAGTACAAGTTTTACACTTTTGATACATCATAGCTTAAAAAACTATTCATTGTTCAGTCTTGCGTCTATGATATTTTTTGTTCATTATATATAGAAACACTTCACTAGAACTCAATTTACTATATAATTATAGTGTGGAGTCCTTTCACAAAAAACTTATTTGTAATCTTTTTCATATTATTAGGTCATAAAATTAATTAAATAATCGATAAGATCAAGGAAATGAAAATTATCAAATATTAATTTATCTCATTATAAAAAAATTATATTTGTATTTCAAATATAGAGAGAAATTTATCAAATGCAAATTTTGCCGTGGCTCACCGACACCATAATCGCCGATAATAAGGAACTTGAAGAGATGTTCCTTATGACTGACGTTAGATAGAACGACATCCGAGTCCCTCCTAAACGCTCGCGGAGTCATGCTCGCCATGTGATCCGTTCGTCTCATCAATTAGGTCGTTTCAATACCGCACTTCACAAATCACTGTCGTATTCTTGTCCACGGTAAGAAACGATAACAGAAGAAGACGAAAGAGACGGACGACCCCGCGGGTCGCGTCCATCGTCTCGCTCCCCTCTCGGGCAGTAGTTCGTATCAGCAATCATTTTCTTCGTTATCTCACCTCGCCGTAAACACGCTGCCGTCTTTCTTACGATTTTTATAATACTCTAAACAAGTCTTTAACTACATTTTTTTTTTAAATCCTTTCGCCGCGCAAGAAATCAACGTTGAATATATTAGACAAATAGGTGAGGAGTGAGGTCGTCAAGATAATTTCTTAAAAAGTGCAGGCCTTTATTTTGCACATACACCTCTTTGTAACGAGTAACACGGCAGCGATTGTTGGCTTCGATCGAACCTTCTCGGTTTCTGTATGGCGGTGGCTGGGTAAAGGCGAGCCAGACATCACATACATTTACGCGCGCGTATTGGTTTTCCTAAACTCTTTGGAAGATAGTTACGACTTCATTTCCGTTCGGCAATTAAACGTACACGGATTAAACAATAAATAACGATTAAACGCCGTTAATAAATAACGAGATTAGATGCAATATGCTGGATATATGCAAAAAGAACTCCACCTCCGCTCCCATCTTGTTCCCTCGTCAAAGACGAAGGGACGAATTTGGAACGCACACAAAGGGAAAAAGATACAAAAGAGATAAATAAATAAATTGAAAAAGGATAGAGACATACAGTGGTGGATGCTAAAAAACTCTTAAGATTTTAAGGAATTCTCTCCACACAAATTGAAAACAAAAACTACATATGCCCGAAATGGTTTAGTTTCATTTTAAATTTCAAATAAAAAAAGACAAGGTGTCAAGTTAAAGAAAAGTTCTTTTTCAAAAATTTCGAAAACCACTCAGATTATTTTGATGAAACTTTAAACATATACACAAACATAAGGTATATGAAATTTTTATCTTCAATTTGTGTGAGAAATTATCCCTTAAAATCATGTATAATATTTAATATCCACCTTGTACAAAGGAGCGGAAGAAACAGGATACACGTATCTGCGTGCATCACACAGACGCATTTCTCAGTCGACGACTTATTTAAAACTTATTTCTTCTTTTTTTCCGTATAACGTGTCTTTCGTTTAATTACGTGTACAATATAAAATGTTACAGTTACGCGCGACGAATACCAGCGCACTAGGATCACAACTCAATTCATTTAAAATTAAAAATAACCGTATATTATTTATATATACGCCGTTCCTCCTGATGCGACAGGTTACGATCTCTGATCCAGAAAATTCAACGATTCGAGGAGTAACAACACAATTTGCATTGTACACTTAATATCGAAGACCGACGCCGTAAACATCATAAATTCCGTCCAGCACTATTAAGAATATAATTCGACGAGTATTTCTATATATATATATAGACATTTGCGAGGCGAGTTATGCTAAATTCCGGATATCAGATCGAGATCGAAAAACCGAATGTTATCGCGCGATTACTGAACCACTGAAATCGCAGTCACAGTGTTTCGGACTCGTATGTTCGATCAACCGAGGGGATCTTCATGACGAGAATTGCACGATCGTCCAGCGGCCGCTCTGACGCCGAGCAGCCAACGATACTTTCACAATCACTAAATCAACAATGATAATCATACGAATAATAATGGTAATAATAGCACTAATAGTAATAATAGCGGTAAATACACAGTAATAATAATTTACATTTACACAAGACTCTTTTTCCTTATTCGCGAACAATTAATCGTATTACCTAACTATATACGACATGCTTACGGTTATAATCATTCAGTTTATCGCAACGTGATTACAGTCCTCTACTCAACCGTAAATCTTTAATATTTCATCGCGAATTAAATCGATTCTTCTCTTTCATTCTTTATTATAATCAAGCTTGATTAAAGCCAAACTCTTTACGAATTCTCGTCTCTGAATCACATTTGATTTAAAGCGACTTATTCGCGAAACAGGACGAGGTACGCGAAAAAGATGATTGAGAGCGCAAAAGATAGAAAAAATAATCAAGCAATCGTAAAAAAATATACAGACGCAAACACGTAATATACAAATCGATGGAGGGTACGACATGCGAGTCTCTTCTATCTTTGCAAAGACATCGCACCCATGTATATTAAAATCTCAAATTCGTGCAAGATGAAAGAAAAATTTGATGATGCGAGAAAATAATATAATAATTCTTTTTAACCGAATTATGGAATAATTTGCAAAGATGTCGACAACCGTTCAATTTAAATCAATGATCGCACATCAGTGACTCCGTAAGCAAAGCGAGATTGGCGAAAAATGATTCGGATAATGAGAATAATAACGCTCTATCTCTTTTTCACGGAAGTCTTCTCGCATATCGTTTTCATAAACTATCGTCGCTGTCATCGGCATGAGGTTCGACCGAAACATTTCCAGCAAGTGGCGCGGCACTTCCTTCTCTACTAGTTTCAACATCTTGTTCCATTGAGTTACTCTGTGCTTGCTGTTCGTCTATAAAAATACAATAATTTTGTGATTCGAAATATAAACTATATAAATCATTATATTATCAATAATACATATTTGTATGATAAAAATATTAACCATATATATTATATTTCACTTATATAAATATAAAATAATATATATTTTTAACATAAATGTTTTTAAAGTTCTAAAGAATTAAAATTCTATATAACTGCTAATATATCTGATAACTGCATACCTGATTGCGTCGGTGGGGAGTCATCATCTCCTTGACCTGGACTCAATATAGCCTCCTTAATTTGACTATTAACACCCTTCGGATCTAAATCCGTTGCCCAACTAAAGTACATTAACGCAAGATGGGTATTGCCTAACTTTTTATGTACCTATTGCAAATATAAAGGTATATTTATATAAGAAATGTTAAAAAAAAATCTGTTTGATTAACTAATTTCTTACTTTTCCTATTGAATAATAGACTAGAGATTCTTTGGGTATAATATTTTTTAGCTCCTCGAATTCTCTTAGAGCTTCCATATGTCGACCAATAGAGAAGTTGATGCTCGCACGATGGAATTTGCATAAAGTATTATCCGGATCATTCATTAGCGCAGTGTTCAAAGTCTTTAATGCCTGATCGGTCTTCTTCAGGGCGTGTTGCACGACACCTATGTGACACATTAACGCAGAATTCTGCGGGTTTATTTGTAAGGCCCGTTTGAAGTGTAACTCCGCTAAACTATATTGTTCCTGTTTCGAAAATATCGTACCTAATCCGAACCTTTAATGACATGGAGAAATATTTTACATACGAATTCAGACAGCTTCAAAAAGTATACAATATTATAATATATACTAATAAAATTTTTTAGAATTTACCATGCATTATAATGTCTGGGATAGCAGTCACAGTGTTTCGGACTCGTATGTTCGATCAACCGAGGGGATCTTCATGACGAGAATTGCACGATCGTCCAGCGGCCGCTCTGACGCCGAGCAGCCAACGATACTTTCACAATCACTAAATCAACAATGATAATCATACGAATAATAATGGTAATAATAGCACTAATAGTAATAATAGCGGTAAATACACAGTAATAATAATTTACATTTA